TCCTCCTGACCCCCTTCTTTTTTTTAAGATTTATTTATGCATACAAGAGTTGGGGTGTAGGCCAGACACGTGGGGGGTGAGAGGACACACCAGACACAGAGTGGGGAGCAGAGCAGAGGCTGCCACCCCACCCTGCTTCTCGCCTCAGCACCCATTGCCCCCAGCGGCCCCCCACAGTCTGCACATACGGATCTCCACAAACAGTGGAAAGGCCTGAACTAAGATGGGTGCTGTGTAGGGGCAGGACCCACGGGACAGGTAAATGAGAGCCGAGAGGGGGTCACAGGGAGCCCGGGGCAGGGCCCAGCTGCACATGGACCGAAATTCACTGCTGGGCGGAGCCGGGGCGAGACCGGAGAGTCTGCTGCGCCCTGTGGGTCACTCGCTGGCCGGGCCAGGGCTCGAACTCGTGCTGCAGGGGCTGCGGCCAGCTCCGTAGTGCTGCACTGTAACCCCTTGTGCCACCTGGGAAGCCCACGACCCCCTTATTTTTAATCAGAGGAAACTGAGGCGCAGAGATGACACCACCAGCCCAGAGCCCCGCAGTGGGGGGGGGGGGCAGCCCTGGGCTCCAGCGCAGCGGCCCCGGGCTCCTTGTGACCCTCCGGGCTCTCGTTCCTCTGTCCCTGCGGCCCTTCCCCTGCACAGCACCCGCCCTAGTCCGGGCCTATCCGCTGGCTGTGCAGGTCCGCAGCTTGGACTGTGGGGAGGGCCGGGGCGTGGGCGAGCGCTGAGTGCCGAGGTGGGGGGCGCGGAGGGCGGCGCCCCCGAAGCCGTGAGCACACAGCTCCGGGCCAGCTAGGCGCCCCGGCCAGTGTTACTGGATGAAAGCGGCTGAAACACGAGTGAGTGAAGTCTCGGTGCTGGCGAGTGGCTCCGTTTCGCCCCTCTGCTCGGCCGCGTGCCAGGCACGTGTGGTGCCCTCCCACGGGTGCGCAGACACCAGCGCCGCCCGCTCCGGAGGACAGCCCGCCGCCTGAGCCACCACACGCCTGCGCGGTGCCAGCCTCGGCCGTGCCACGCCCCGCACCGGTGACCCAGACGCCAGGCTGCCCGGCCGCCGCCCCCAGGCCTCGCCCAGGGCCCTGCGGGCTGCAGGCTCCCTGCCGGGGCGCTGGGCGCCTCGGGCCGCAGTGGTTCTGGGCAGCCTCTGCGTGGCCGGTCCCCGGCACCCTCTCTGGGCCGGTTTCCAGTGGGCGCTCCTGAGCTGGTCCCAGCGGGGAGCTGTCGGTGGGCAGGCAGCACCTCTGTGCCGCCCCCAACAGCTGTCGGGCCCCTCCCCCTGTGTTAGCAGCTGTGCCGCTCTGCCTCGGGGGCTCAACGTTCCCTGGATCCGGAGGTCGTCGCCCACCTCCCAGCGACGCCAGGCACCCCTGTCCCACAGGCTTTCCCAAGGCAAAGCGCTGGGCGTGTGCTTAGTGGTCATTTGACATTTATGACTGAGTAGATGCCAGCGTCCCATGGGGGCCGTCAGCTCTCAGGGCCACGCAGGTACAGTCCTCCCTTTGGGGGCTGGGCCCGACCGCCACAGCCTACCTGCACTTCCCCCCCAGGATGACGCGCCACGGCAAGAACTGCACCGCGGGGGCCGTCTACACCTACCACGAGAAGAAGAAGGACACAGGTACCGGGTTTGGGGGGCAGGTGTGTCTCAAAGTCACCCTTCACTGCACGGCCCTCGGTATGCGTTGTCTGGGGGGGCTGTCCCACATGGAGGGCCACGAGCTGTTGGGGCGCCCAGGGGCTCAGGCACCCCGCCCTCGTGGTGGGCATTGCACCTACTGGTGTCTGTGCACGACCTCCCCCCTCGCACCCACCTGCTGAGGGAGGGTCCCTGTCACCACCCAACTGCGGGGGCCGAGCAGAGGCCAGAGCCCAGCAACGCGAGCTCCGTCACAGAGCCACAAGGATGCAGATGCGTCAGCCCTGGGCCTCAGCTGAGCTGCGTGGCTGACAGGGCCTGTCTGACCTCGAGGGCCGACACATTCCTGTGGGCTGTGCAGTCCACCCCACCCCAGCCCCTCCCCGGCACCCCCACAGACACAGCCAAGCTGCTTGTTTCTCTGAGAAGTCCCCACCGCCGGTGCGCACCAGGCCCAGGCCCAGCTGGGGCTCCGCAGAGTGGCCTGGCCCTGACCCCCAGCCCTTCGCCTGCCTCTGTCCCCAGCGGCCTCGGGCTATGGGACCCAGAACATTCGCCTAAGCCGGGATGCCGTCAAGGACTTTGACTGCTGCTGCCTGTCTCTGCAGCCCTGCCACGACCCGGTTGTCACGTGAGTGGGCGGGCGGGGTGGCAGGGTAGGTGCCGCCAGGGGGCTGGGTGCGTCTGGCCGCGTGCAGCCAGGGTGCCAGGGCCCCAGGGGTCACCTCTCCAGGCCTCCGCGTTCTTACCTGAGCCCTAGCAGGTTGCACGGGGCACACCTGGCATGTGGGGGGCGTCCTGGCCCCCAGTAACAGCGCATACTCGCCCCGTCCCCCGCCTCTCAGGGTCCAGCTGGGCCTGAAACTGAGGTGCAAGGTGCTTAGCCCAGCGATGTGAGTACCGGTGGCTCTCCTAGAGCGGGCAGGGGTGTTTCGAGGCACCCCCTCCGTGGTTGAAAATCATGACTCCCCCAAAACTTAGGTGCGGGGCTGATGAGAAGCCGCCCCCTGTGCACGTGTCGGAGTCCGTGTTCTACGGTCAGCTAGAGGGGCCGTGGCTAGGGCGGCCCACACTGGCCTGGCCTGGCCCCTGCGGGAACACTCCCCCCACCCCCCTTCTGCAGCGCAGGCCTGTTGGGGGGCAGCTACTGGCCGCCACAGGCGTCTTCGCCAGTGCAGGAGCTGCGCCTCTCACCCGTCCTCCCTTTGCAGGCCAGATGGCTACCTGTATGAGCGCGAGGCCATCCTGGAGTACATTTTGCACCAGAAGAAGGAGATTGCCCGGCAGATGAAGGTGATGGGGATGGGGGCGGGGCGGGGGGGCGCGGGGGGGCTGGGCAGGTTTGTTCTGAGCTCACGAGCAGAGCCGCCTCCCTCCTGGGCGCTGCCTGCCTGGTTCCCACTGCCTGGCGCCGCCTCTTCCGTCCTCCTCGATGGCTCCTTGTTCCCCGGCCTTGGCCCAGCCCTGCCTGCCCTGTCCTCGGGGCCCTTGCCAGGGTCTGCCCTGCTCGCCCCAAGGCCCTCTCTGGGCGCTAGTCACAGCGATTCTGTGTGTGGCTCAGGGAAGTACAGCAGGCCCCGGGGAGGCCGTAGCCCGTCCCTGCCTTCGTAGTAGCCCCAGTGAGCGATGTCACCTCATTCCATTGTTTCTAAAATGGGCTGATGGGGACAAACTAGAGGACACTTCAGAGCACAGTGATGCTCACATAAGAATTCTACTTGTCCCACTGCTGTGGGCGAACTCAGTTGAGGCACAGGAGACCCTGCTTGGCTGTGCGTGGGGTTCGGCTGGCCCACATTCCTGTTCCCCTCCTCCTGGCTGGTGTGTCCAGACTCGGGACACACCAAGGGGCAGGTTCTTGCTTTTTATCATGGGCGTGTGGCTTCTGCTGTGCTCCAAACTCCACACAGCCTGGTGGCCGACCGGCTCCCCTGGTTATAGTGGCCGCGTCAGAGGCCTTCATGTCGCTGCCACCGGCAAGGCTGCCTCTCAGCCGGGTGACCCTGGGCAGTTGGAGAGCCGAGCAGGGCCCAGGCCCCAGCTGTGTCCAGACGGGGCCGTGGGTGCGTGCCCCTGCCCTGCTCCCCACACACTGCCGCTCCCTGATCACTGGCTGCTCGCCTCTCCTGCGCCTTGAGGGCAAGGACAGGACCTGAAGGACCACAGGATCACGTTTCTGGAGCCCTTGCCATGGCCCAGGCAAGACTCCAAGTGCTTAATAAATCCCTTGTAACCTGGAGGGATGGTGGCCACCTCAGCCCATTGCACAGATGCAGCGGCGAGAGAGTCCACAGCGCCCCCTGGAGGCCACAGCGCTAGTCAGCGACAAAGGTGGGGTTTGGCTCTGGCCACCTCTCTCCAGCCCAGCTGCCACCCCTCTGCCTACAAGGAACAAAGCAGCCACCCAAGCGCCCCACACTAGGGGAGGGGCTAACAGAGGTGGTGGCCACACAGCTGGCCCAGTTAGTGCCCAGCAGCCGCAGCAACCTCCAGCACACGCGCTCTGCTGGGATCCCTGTGTGGGCCTCGGTTTACCCACCTGCAAACTGGAAAAAACCCATTGTCATTCAAGTTCACGACCCACTGGGGGGAAAGCCAGCTCCCTTCTTTCCCCGCCCACTGCCCCCAGGCCTATGAGAAGCAGCGGGGTGCCCGGAGGGAGGAACAGAAAGAGCTGCAGCGAGCAGCCGCGCAGGACCAGGTGCGGGGCTTCCTGGAGAAAGAGGCGGCCATTGTGAGCCGGCCCCTCAACCCCTTCACGCCCAAGGCGGCCTCTGGGAACAGCTCAGGTGAGGGGGGGCAGCCTGGACTTGTGGTGGGTGGGGCCCCAGGGCCCCGCGCCTCTCTGTAGGTTCAGGACGCTACATCTGAGCCCCCCTCCACTGCAGAGGATGCCAGCTCCAGGCCCAGCACGGGCCCCAC